TTCCTGCCTTAGTCTCCCGAATGGCTAGGATTACAGGCATGTGCCACTGTGCCTGGCTTCAACTTTTTTCTTCTATTAGATGATCTGTTCCCTTATCTTCTGTAAAACAAAACCACCACAGCAAAGAACTTCCCATAATTAAAAGGTCTGATGTGAACTGGAGGCTGAGGCAGAAGGATTACAAATTTGAGACCAGCCTGGGCAATGAAGACCCTGTCTTCAAAATAAAAAATAAAAAGGATGCAGATATAGCTCAGTGGTAAAAGCACCCCTGAGTCAAACCCTAGTATCACCCCCCCAAAAAAAAAAGTTCGATGTGATCTCTGGGAAATGAGACCTCTATAATGATGGGATCCTGGAGCATGGAATAGCTTGTAGTAGATTAGCCCTATGGAATAATAAACTCATTCACATATTTTCTATTTGGTGACTAGTAACATAAAGCAAAGTTATTTCTTTAGTACTAGGTCCATCTTCCCTATTTGCCATATAGGCATAGGGGGCTAAAATTCTGTTTGTGCTCCCTCCTTCTTGCCCTAGAGACTTTTTTCCTCCCTCAGTGTCAGGATTAAATCTAGGACCTCTCACATGCTAGACAAACAAGCATTTTACCATTGAGCTACACTCCTAGCGCTAGAGGAGACTCTTTAGGAAGTTGTTAAAAGGAGTTAAAGACAGTCTTAACCAATAAGTTAAAGATGTTCCCCCTTTGCTTTATAGACATACTAGATTGCCATTTGCTCTTTGAATTTAGCTTTGGATTGATTATTTGTATATGTGTGTATGTCTTACTGTACTAAGGATTAAACCCATGGTCTGGCATATGCTGGGCAAGCCCTCTTAACACTGAGCAACTTTCTAAACCCTGGATTGATTCTTTTGGACACAGGCTTTTTTAAAAATTCTTTTTTACTAAATTCTGAAAAACCTTAGGCCTTACTAAAGCTACATGACTATGGTGATTTATGTAGTAACTAATAATTTTCAGTACAGCCAAACAGGAGTGAAATGGTTACTAGAAAAGGTGTCTCTGGTCTTTTGACAAAAGGAACAAAGGTATAGATTTGCTCCAAATTAGTTTACTTGTACTGTATATGTGTATGTGATCTTTTAGTTTGTGAAGTATTTTTACATTGTTGTAATTTAGTTATTACAAGACAATCCAGTATGTTATGGCATGGGTATTAGTGGTATTTTATAGATAAGGAAACTAAGACTTGCTTGGACTATCTCATTTTATCTTCAGAATAACCTAGTGCAGAAAACTTAATCGCGGGCTGGGGATGTGGCTCAAGCGGTAGCGCGCTCGTCTGGCATGCGTGCGGCCCGGGTTCGATCCTCAGCACCACATACCAACAAAGATGTTGTGTCTGCCGAGAACTAAAAAATAAATATTAAAAATTCTCTCT